GCCCCGGTGCCGCGGCGTGGAGTCACCCGCGCGGCGGTACCGTTCGGCAAGGTGCACATCGACATCACCGGCCCGTACTCTGAGGCGTTCGATGGTTCTCGTTACCTGATCATGTTCGTGGACAGCGCGTCGCGGTGGCAACGGGCGTACGGCATGCGGGCCAAGAGCGACACCCTGACGTACACGCGGCGCTTCCTCGCCGACCTGAACGGCAACGGCACTCCGGGGTGTTTCCGCATGGACAACGGTGGTGAGTTCACCAGTGCTGCCTTCGTCGCGTTTCTGCGACGCCGCTGGCATCCGGCGCGAGTACACCGCACCCGACACCCCGAAGCAGAATGCGGTCGTCGAGAGCGCAATCTGGCGCGCTATGAAGGGGGGCCACGCCGCCCGTCGCCACGTCCTCTCCATGGGCCACGTCGACCTCGCCTCTATCCCCGGTATGGACGCCAACGGACACCGGCTGTGGCTTGCATCGGCGATCTGGGCCTCCGGCTGCTTCAACCGTTCCGCGACGTCGGCCAACCCGGCCTGGATGTCGCCGTTCGAGGCCTTCTTCGGACGTAAACCGCCGCTCAACGTCGTCCCTTTTTTCCAGGAGGGGATGATGCGCGTGAAGCGCGCCAGCAAGGCGGACGTCCAATCCGTGCGTTGCTTCTACATGCACGGAGCGCGCAACCACTCCGCCGCCACTGCCGTCGTTCTCCGCGCCGACACCGGAAGGATCTGCCTGTCCAACAACGTCGTGTGGATCAACCGCCGCACCGCCGTGCCGGCGCCGGTACCGGCCAGCGGGGGGGGCTCTTCGGTCACCGCGGCGCCCTCGCCGGCCGCCGCCGTTCCTGCAGCCGCTGCCGCACCGCCACCGCCATGGGCATCGCGGACGTACACCTACACCCCGCCCACAGCGACCACCGCTTCGCCGCCGCCCACTTCTCCGTCGATCTTCACAGGGTCCGGAGCCGCGTCGCCGATCTCCACGGCGTCTTCGAGTGCACCGCCGTCCACCGCAGCCACGCCGCCCCGTCCACCGCCGACACCCCCGCCCGCAAGCGCCGCCGCTCCCGCTCCCCATCACCCGCCGCTTTCACAGCGAGCCGTCAGAGAATTGGGCGAGAAGGAAACCAGAGTGCATGGCCGTACGCGCGGCGACCGAGTGCGCTTCATGGATGAGCAACAGCAACCGCCGTCGCCGTCAGGTGGCGGCACCGCTCTCCAACACCGCCTTGGGCTGCTGTCGATGATGGGCAAGGATGCGCTCGTCTCGTCGCTCGCCACCCGGGAGGCCGTCGATCAAGGACGTCGAGACCTGCCACCGTCCGCCAGCATCGCCCCTCCCGCTCCCCCACCGCCGCAAGATACGAGTTTAGCAGGCCATGGGAGCGGGGGGGCCGCAGGAGCTGGAGGGCCGGGGGGCCTGCACATGTTCGCAGCAATGTTCGCCACCCGCGAGGACGTGGAAGCCACTCTTCGTGCCAAGCGCCCTCCTGACAAGATGCCGGACCTCCCTCACTGCCTCGCCAGCGACCTCCGAGTGCCGAAAACGTTCAAGGAGGCCATGCGGTCTCAACATTCAGAGTTGTGGGATGATGCAGTCGGTCGGGAGTTTTTCGGTCTGTTGGATGCAGGTACTTTTAGTCCGGTGTAGCAACCAGTAGAAAACTTCATCAACGCCAAGTGGGTATTCAACTGTAAGGCAGACGAGTACGGATGGCCGACGAAATTCAAGGCAAGACTTGTAGCGCGGGGGGACATGCAGAGGGCTTCGATTGATTTTGGAGAATTGTTTGCACCCACCCGTATCCGTGTCTAGTGTGCGTTTGTTGGCAAGCTTTGGCATGTGAGCAGAACCTTGACTTGTGTCATTTCGATATTCAGCAGGCGTTTGTGCAGTCTGAGCTTGAAGAGGATGTTTTCATGCGTCTCCCGCAAGGTTGTGGTAGGTTATCTGGACTGATCGTGAAGCTATGCAAGAGTCTGTACGGTTTGAAGCAGGCGTCACGACAATGGCATGCGCACCTGACGAGGTGTTTGTTACTTTTAGGATTTGTACAATGTTTGGCGGATGCATGTGTTTTTCGATTTATGGAGGATGGATGTGTGATCATGATCATCGTGGTCCACGTGGATGACATTTTTGCCGTAGGGCAGAAGGAGAGATGTGACAAGTTTGGCAGAGACCTCAACGAGATGGTCCCCGTGAAGAACCTTGGGGAGTTGAGGTGGTACTCCGCGTGCTTTTACCAGAGAGATCTAGAGAGAGGCCTTTTGAGGATCTCGCAGCAAAGGTTTGCAGAAGAGTTGGCTGCAGAGTACGGCGTAGAGTGGGGGAAGAGTGTGCCCTTGCCTGTGAGCATGAAGCTCACCGACTTTGACGAGGACGAAGCGTGTGCTGATGTCCCTTTCCGCGAGTTGGTAGGATCCCTGATGTGGTTGGCCACTCAAACCAGGCCGGACATCGCGAATGCAGTACGAGCAGTAGCGCGGTATTGCGCGTCTCCCAAGATGGTGCACTGGAAGGCAGCACTTGGTATTTTAGGGTACGTGCGTAGGACGAGTTGGATGGGGATTACATTTGAGAGGGGTGTGGTGACTGGCATGAGCATGCAGGTGTTTGTGGATGCTGACTATGCGAGCAAGGCAGCAGACCGTAGGTCGGTTTCAGGAGGACTAGTGATGTGTGGGGGTGGGTGTGTGACTTGGTTTTCGAGGACGCAGAAGTGCGTTACGCTTTCCACAACGGAAGCAGAGTATGTGGCAATTGCCGACGTCTTGAAGGAGGTGCTTTTCTTGAGGCAAGTTTGGCGTTTTATGTTGCCAGATGCAGGTATGCCGTGCATTCAAATCTTCGAGGATAATCAGGGAGCGATTCAGATTGCGCACAACCCGATCACGAACTCAAACTCGAAGCACATTGATGTACGGCATCACTTTATCAGGGAACTGGTAGAGAGGAAGGAGATTTCGATTACTCATGTGGCGTCGGAGTTTCAGCATGCAGATTTCTTGACGAAGGCTATCAGCAAGGAATTCTTTTGCGTTGCACAGAGACTTTGTGATGAATTTGCAGTGACAGAGGTGTTTTGGGATCAAATCGTGCTTTGCCGTTGAGTGGAAGAGAGAGGATATGTACGAGTTTGAACAAGAGATAGAGAGGGTCAAGTGGAGATGGTAGTGTTTTGGAAGGTTAATGTTAGGGATTTTTCTTGATGATTTGGAAGAGTTGGTATGCGATTGATTGTTTTTGGAGGAGGTATTGTTTTGGTGTTGGAGTTTTCGATTTTGTCTTGGTTTTGATTTGTTTTGGGATGAACTGGTATGATAAGGATGACTTTGATATTTTGTTGGAGCATGACGATGCATACGAGCAGGGGGGCTATTCGATATACTCGTAGCATAGCATGGGGGTGGTATATTGCGTATAAATATGCGGGGATTGCAGTGACGAACTACGGAGGAACAAGAAGTTTCTTTGTGTTTTCCTTGGGAGTGTAGTAGATTGGTGGAGATTCATGGAGATTCGTTCTAGGTATTAAAGCGTTATGCGTGACTTGATGCCGTGATGGAATGACGAGCTCAAGCACGCCCCCGATGAATACAACACGTTTTTCACCACGTCTACACGTCTTTACCTACCCGTGCGGCCCGTCATGGCCGAGTTGCTCTACGCTCCCATCACACACAACTGAGCCACCCGAATTATCGATCAGAGGCTGTGTGTCGGATTCCGGCGCCATGTTCTTTGATCCTTCCATGGAACTTGCGGCAACTTGGAATTGGGTCAGTTTCCATCGAAGTAGCGGGTGTGTGCTCCCGTGGAAGTTGTCTCTTGAACTTCCCCGAACCCGCGAAGAGTTTTTTTGGAAGTCATGACTTACATGGAAGTTCGTCCGTCGGACAACTCCCCAAAATTGTAAGGTTCTTTCCTGGAGGCACTTCACACACAACAAGAGATAGATAGCACGCTCCCCACAGAATACAACACTGGCTGGAGTAAGGAGTATAGGCCAACGCGTATCCATCTCGTCAACCACGGGACGAAGGTAGCCTCCGCCTCCCCGTTCTTTTCGGAGGGTCTTGCAAAACAAACAGAGGCGGTTTGGGGCGTGTTGGGGTTTCAAATGCGGTATGGGGTTTCGAAAAAGCGTCTTGGTTCGGTACGGGGTCCTCCACGTACATCACGATGACGTCCATGCAGGAAGCGGGCATCCTAATGAAGGATTGCCATGGAAGCTCCCCATGCACGATTCCACGGTAGTCCTTCTCGATGACTTCCATGGGAGGTCGACTCCGGTGGAATACTTCCATGGAAGTTGTGCCATGAAGCTTTCATGGAAGTCAAACCTTTACCTGCCATGGAAGCTAGTCGACTTCCGCCAGCTTCTGTCATGGAAGCCGCTGTTGGACCTCCCCTACCTTAACTTCCACGGAAGTTCCCTTACGCCCATGGAAGTCGCTTGGCGAGGAAATCAGATTCACCAAGCTTGAGGAGGCACGCACATTTGTCAAATAGTGTAGGAGATCGCACTGCATGGGGGTCTCATCTCCTCTGTGGGTTACCAACAGCTACTGTAGTACCATTTTTTTTGGGTTTCCCTAGGTCGGAAAAAAATGTGTCGCTTGTCCGCTGTTGTTCCGCATTTCTTTGACCAACCAGTTCTCATGAGGTGACATGCCTTGTGCAACGCCGATATCCAAGCTGAACGTGTCCTCCTGTTCCTGTCCTCTTGGTCCCTTCGACCGTGTCGTTCATGTTCGTAGACGATCTGAGGCGGACTACGTAGTAGGGACCAACCGTATTGTATTGTGTGAATCATGGAACCATACTACGGGAAGAGGTTGTAGATATCGTGATTATTATCTTGTGTAAATGTTATTGCCGCGCGTCCCAAATCCAAAGTGTAAATGATCTCTACCCTCCTCAATTCGCTGCCCCAAACCTGACGCTAATTCGGAACACCAAGACCCTTTCGTGCCACCTGGTTGATTCTGACTCCCAGGTAGAATGGACGAGAACGCAGCCACCTCCACGGCTCAAGCAACGGACAACAAGAAGCCCCCCGTCTACAACCACCGTACGAATGATGTTCCGTCGACACGATCTTCATCGTCCTTGTCAGCATCGTTATGCCCCTCGTCGCGCGCGGCCCCATTCTCTGCCCAAGACCAGCTTGACGCACAGCCTGCAAACTCATCGGTATCAAGGAAAAGCCCAGTGCTGCATGTTTTTAGAACTCCCGGCCAGGCAGCGGCAGCGGGCGACAAGGAAGGTTTGCTCGCTAGTTTCCTCTTCAAATATTGCGCCGACGTGTCAAGCGAGAAACATATGAGCCATAAGTTAGAGAGATGCACGGTTCTGTTCATTTTGCGCCACTCGATCGCTGAAGTCGATATTTTCTTGGCCAATATTTGCTTCTTGTCTTCTGCATCTCTCTCCACGTTCTTCTGTCTCAGCTGTTGTTCGATCCGCGAAGGTTTGGTTGTGTATCGCGGGCGGTTGCTGAAGGGCTACATAAGAAGCGAGACATTTGGGTGGAATATTTCCGTCTCAATGATTGCTCCATTAGATCCAACTAGAGACGCCTAAGCGAATGGTCTGGCTATGAATCGATCCTTGTGTTTTCTAGCGCCTATTCATGGAGCCTGGGCCACGCTTAGAAACGGTAGAGGGTACAGACGTCGCAATCGACATGCCTTTTGGTCTTCCTTCGAGTGCCATATGCATACTTTCGGGCAAAGCGTTCAAACCATACGGCACTGGAGGCGTTGACTGCCGACTATTATCTGCAGGCCCATGCTGGTGCACACTTTGCTACAGTTCACGGACGAGGGCTTTTTTTGTGACACTTCGCCGGGCACGACAGTGGGACACGCTCAGCGCCATCAACTTCCTATCCCCTCTTGCTTTTGAAGCTTTCGACGAGCCAAATGTCGACAGCTCAGCAATCGTGTGCCATACTCTCAGCACCCTTGGATATGCCCAACATCTGAGTGTTCCTCTTGATCCTCATTTAATGTAGGAGAGTCGGAAGAAGTGGGGCATGACGGCTCCGCAAGTTATTTTTCATACGGATCTGCTGACCCGCGTCACTCAGGAGCCAACAAGTCCGGGGTAGTGCTGAAGCTCCTCCGAACAGGACACCCACAGTGTTTCCGTCCCTTTTCCTCTCCTGGCTTGACTCCCCTTCTTGGGCTCTGTTTTGCGTGCAGGTTCGGGCCCTTACCCCTTGCGGCCAAGGCCCACCCACGGCGCGGTGGTGAAACAAGCACTCAGCATATTCAAGTCTTCCGCATCACAACCCGGCGGCCCCGGTGTACCAGTCCTGTCGGCATTCCCGTTATCTTCAGCTCACACCGCAATCCCTCCCGCAAAGGAACCACCCATCCCAATGCGCTGTCAGGTGCAAACGAACAGCGAACCTTCAGAAATTCGTGGTCCCTTCACTTCCAGTTTTGACATGGCGATGTTGTCTGCTTCGAAATCTGTGACTTGATTACCCAGCTGATTTTAATGTGCCGACCGAAAGGTAGAACAAATCTTGTCGATCTCGCCCTTGCAAGGGAACCCGGATACGGTAGAGTCTAAGCAAGTATTCCGGGTAGGCGATGACGTTAAAGTTTCCCGGCTGGGCCATAGGTAAGAATAGAGCCTGCCCATTGACTCATCGACGGTATGATCTGCCTGTCAGAGCTTCTGCGTGGTTCAGTGTGCGTGGCGGTGCAGCCGCGAATCATTTATATATTGCTATTGTTGTTGTTGTTGTTGTTGTTGTTGTGTTTGGAGCGATTTCCCGTGTCACGCGGCCCGTTAAGGGCATAGGCAAGTGTGTACTGATTTCACGCCGAGAATTGGACGGTACGAATAAGGCCCACTCTGCTCCCCTTTCGAATATGCAGCACCGGGGGTGCTCGAATCTGGCGAGGTATGGCCCTCTGGACTCTCCACCTCGCGCCTGTCAGTTGCATAAGAGGGTGGGCCAGTTTACCACCGACCGCCACGGAGCACTGTTCAGAGCCACCCGTGAAGGAAACGGTGAGGAAGTAGCAGCTGAGGTGTCTGTTTCCGTCTGTCAGCTCGGTCACGTCAGGTTTCGTGGCCGTGCCTGCAGCAAGGTTATTTTGTTGATCACTTCCTGCCTTGACCATTTGAGTGTGTTCGATATTGTGCTCCTCTTTCACATTTCACGTTTTCAGACAGACAAATTGTTGAGACACAAACACCCACACAATTCATACGCAAAGTGAACAGTCAACCGTTATTCTCGTATGAGCCCCACCCCGCGCCACAAACGATGCGACAACTCGTCATTAATCCACCCCCGTGTCGTTCCTACATCCCGTCTGCCTCGTTCATGTGGAACTCAGCTTTCAGGGAACTGGCGGCAGCTACCGTCAAGTCTCCTCCGCCCTGCAGCATCAACAAAGGTAAAATCATGAGCGGCCGCGTTGCAGAAACTTTCGGTGTTTGTTCTTCACCTTCGACCCCCCCTTTTTGCAACCTTCACACCCAAAAGTCCCCTACTATTTTCGCCCTAAGTTGCTGACTGGTTTCGTCTCCGAAACGACGTCGTGGTTCCTTCAGCCATGATTTTGCTGCTGTCGGGAGCGAACGGCGAATGCTATAGGCCTTTCTCAAACAACGGAAGAGTGATATTGAGGATTCCCCCCCCCCCTTCAGCGAAGTACCGCGCCACGCAATAATGAAGTGACGACAGAATGTGCGACACCAATGATTTTTTCGCCGAACTCCCCTTTCAAACCCAACTGTCCTTACGTGACTTGGCGGCGTCGGACCAATCCCGGCTACGTTCGACAGAAAGTAACGACCGGTCCTCTTCTTCATCCCATCCTAAGCCAGGGAAAACCTCTGCCACTCGTGGACAGGTGTTGAAACGTGAGATGACGAAGGTGGATAGAGGAGAGGGGGGCGCGAAAGGCTCTGTTGTCTATCTAGTGTTGTCTTGCACGCTGTATGTGATATTCGTATATGTACACCCTGATACATGATGCAGATAGTGCTAGGCTGAAGAGTACCCTCGGGATGACGCTGACTTGTTGCTCATTTCCGTGGAACTTTTGAGACGTGTAACAACAAGCGGTAGCTCGGCCTCGTTCGTTTCCTCCTAGATACATGATTGATCGGTCTCTACCGATCTGTTGTACTACTGTTTTCCACAAATCCCAGGCGCCAACCGGCCGGGGCTATCCGGTGGGCACAACGGTGGAAGTCAGTCGTCGCGGAATCGCTCCTGCCTCTTCCCAGGGTGAGAAAGATCGAAACCGAAGACAGAGACTCAGAGTCCTCCAATTCCTTGACAAGCAACACCTTGCAGTCTGGGTGTTTTTTGTACCACCGTAGAAGGCGGAGGGCGTTTTGTGAGCCTTCCATGGCAAAGTCCGATGTCTTCTGCGTTCGACAAGGCGAACGAACATTGTCGGGCTGCAGAACAAAACAAACGTCGTTGTTAGGGCTTTGCGACTCATCTCTGCCTACATTCGGGCCTTTTCCTGCACAGGGACTGGACTCCACCCAAGGTCCATCGCCAAACCCACGTCAAGCCAACAGTACATTCTTGCCGCTTGTTCGTGTGTTGAATGGTGGAGATCGTATGAGAAACTACCTGAAATGGAGACCAAAGGCTTCTTGGTAGGGACGTGCGGTGTCAGTCGTTGACAAAACTTCCAATGGTAGCCTTCCAGGCAAGTGTTGAGTTCAAGGTTCCACGAATATCTGAGTATTCAACGTGTCTGCAATCGTCGCCCATACCAGATGTGACGCTCGGCCCGACTACGGCCTGCCGGGTGCAACGCGCGCCGTGTACTGCTTCTCCCACAAGAAGGGCCCAATGGTGCAACTCTTCAAGGAAACCCCTGCCCTTCCAGACAATCCTGGGTAAGCTGAGTGCGCTGTTGCCCCAATTGTCACAAGGTTGGTGTTGTGTCGTGTTTTGTAACCAAGAAGTATTTGAGTGTCAGGAGTACAGACGGTACCTCATTTTGAAACTATCGCGATACAGTTGCTTACGACTGTCGTACGGCGGAGGGTCCGAATATAGAGGAGATACGGTCGATGCAGCCGTTTCTTTCTAGCTTCTTGTTTCCTTCCAGGCCGCAGATGAGCAACGAAGTGCCGTTCCGTTTCGCCTGTCGGCATCCCAGAAACATGTGATCGAGGTCCTTTTTTAGAGAACATTGACAGATACGTCGGACACCATGCCGTTGCCTGTTACGTCACATCGCTGCAGGAAGGCAACCACGGGCAAACCTCGCAGCCAGGCTCCCACTGAACCAGCAGCAGCAGCTGCATCAGTTGGAACAAAGAATCCCCGAGCCCCGAGTAACATAGATCGCAACGCGGCTAAGAAAGCGCGACGAGGGCAACAGGAAACGGAGGAAGACAATGACGCCGATGTCTCAGGCACGCACAGAAGCAAAAAGAGGAGTTCGGGCGGAAAGGACGAACGGGGCGCGATTTCCAGCTCCACGGTGGCTGGGGAAAACCTGACGAAAACGACCGCTAAGACTTCTGCACCGTCCTTCCCATCTCCAGCTCCTGCCGCCGAAGCCAACCCCCCGTCTTCTCCCAATAACCGGCTGGCCGACTCGTCGGGGATGGCCCCATCCGTAGAGTTTCTCGTACTTAGGCAGGCGAGGGAGGATGCCAAGACGGAGGCCGAGGCCAGCGGCCTGGGGAGAAGACCCCGCGCGCCGTCACGGCGGGCCCTGGAAGCGGCGGGCCGGCTGAAGGGCACCGGTGCACAATGGATGAGTCGCGAGAAGAAGGCGGAGGATCTGAGACTCAAGGCGGAGCTGAGGCAGCAACGGAAGCAGTACCAGGCGGCAGGCCTGAAGTCTGGCGTTGTGCTAGAGATGTTCGTACCGGAGGCGACCGGGACCGAGGCAGCGGGTGATGGGATCGAGGAGAGGGATGGGGAGGTACGAGGAGAGGGGGGTGCAACGACGCTCAGAGGCAGTAACCCCGGATGGCAGAAGGTCTCGCCAGAAGTTCTCTCAGCGCCTTCTTCAAAGCAGCATGGTACGGGACAGAGGGAAGAAACGTCCGTAGGAAGAGGACAGAAGCCTTCAAAGCAAGCCAGGTCCACCGCAGTAGCGGAGAGCGGTTAGCTCAAAATACGACCTTCACAGCGGTGTACGGTACGGCATGAGTGCTGGACTCTGCGTCGACCGACCGCGTGGCGTCGTGCTGCTGCTGCCGCCGCCGAAGCCATCCGGAGTTGAGCGGCTAAGAACGCTGCGAGACATCCAGGATACGAGAAGCTGGTACTGCTCTCCGGGCAATACTCGAGAACGTACGTTTTATCAAGAAGGGGAACAGGAGGACAGACCAAGAGCGACATTAAAGTGACATCGAGGTGCTCCCTACACGTGGCATGCGCCGAGAAAGTACTAATATGTTCTTTTTAGGGGTTGTTTTGTGTTTTTTTGCACACAGGGGCACGCACATCGACGAAGGTCGTACATGTACCCCCGTTGAATTTCGCTTCTGGGCGCGCTCTGGCAGAGTAGGGTATGACGGATGACGTGAGGGTTCAGGGCGTAGAGTTTGCATGTGAAGGCTTTTTCTGCCTGGAGGATTGTTTTCGTAGTCGCGAACGTGTGGAGGGGTCTCATGGCCAGCGGTCGGTGGTTTTCAACTATTGTCAGGAGCGCTATCTTGGCCAACAAAGTTTCATGCTGTATGTGTTCAACGGTAGTTGCTTGCATTGGAACCGTAGGGCGTGTTTCGAAGCGGCCGTGTTGTGGTACGGTCTACAGCTTGTAAAGAAGAAGCAGGTACTACGTGTTTGTGTTTCCCGTCACGAAATGTTTGTCGATTGGAGATAGTAGAGAGCTCCGGTCAAATTTCGCGTCGTACGTACGTAGTTGCGGTCACGCTGCTTGGTGACGCCAGACTTGTGGTCGTAGAAATTATGTACTAACCATCTACCGAAGGACAACAATGTTGGGGCCCGGCTTTATTCGAGACTGATTTCTGGATAGCAATGTCGGGATATGAACTGAAGGTACACATCAATATGCATTTATGAGCCTTTACAGGTTTGTGTTCGTACTCCCTACACGTGGCATGCGCCAAGAAAGTACTAAATATGTTCTTTGTAGGGGTTGCTTTGCGTTTGGTTGCACACAGGGGCACGCACATCGACGAAGGTCGTGTATGTGCCCCCGTTGAATTTCGTCGCTGGGCGCGCTCTGGCAGGGTAGGGTATGACGGATGACGTGAGGGTTCAGGGCGTAGAGTTTGCATATGAAGGTTTCTTCTGCCTGGAGGAGTGTTTTCGTAATCGCGAACGTGTGGAGAGGTCTCATGGCTAGCGGTCGGTGGTTTTCAACTATTGTCAGGAGCGCTATCTTGGCCGATAGAACAAAGTTTCATGTTGTATGTGTTCAACGCATTGGAACCGTAGGGCGTGTTTCGAAGCGGCCGTGTTGTGGTACGGTCTACAGCTTGTAAAGAAGAAGCAGGTACTACGTGTTTGTGTTTCCCGTCACGAAATGTTTGTCGATTGGAGATACTAGAGAGCTCCGGTCAAAATTTCGCGTCGTACGTACGTAGTTGCGGTCACGCTGCTTGGTGACGCCAGACTTGCACATTGCCGAATGACAACATAGGTTGGGGGCCCGGCTTTATTCGAGACTGATTTCTCGATATTCATGTGTAAATTGCAGGATCTTAAGTGAAGACAAATATATCAATATGCATTCATGAGCTTTTTCAGAGGGGTGCTGTGTGCCTTGCGTTCACAAAATATGACTAGTTTGACTAGTTTGTGTTCATTCAAGAACGTTGTGCTTGGTGCTTGAAAATCTCGCACTGTCTGGTGCTTGGCATTCTTAGGAGGAAAGTCAATATGATGGAGAATACTGACCACGGTTCACGCTTCCTTGTTAATTTACCCCTCGTGGCGCGGTGTGCCCACCTGAACGACGTGCAACGACGACCGTGAGGTGATGTCCGTCACCACATGAAAAATAATACCAGCCCATCTGAAGAGGGCGATGCGGCCTTGAACAAAGGATCAAGTCATTTGGTGGTGACCAACATGTTTCAGAGGTGGCAGCAGCGGAACAGCAGTGTACCAGAAGTAGTTCTATTCCCGTACGTGCCCAACGATGTGTACCACAGGCTGTGGATATCGTCACCATATCGATACGCGTTCAGTCTGCTGCTAGCCCGTGTCGGTCTTGTTTACTGCAGTTCGTGTGCATCCGCATTCAGCGCCGACTATCCAATGGAAAACAAAACCATCGACAAAGTCAGGCGGGCTGTGCCACCGGCGTGTACTACGGTAGCAGGCGCTTGGCTGCCAGGTCGAAAATTGAATATGCAACGGACATTTTCAATGGGAGAGCCTTCACCGTTTCCCGCATACGAGGGAATATGGTTGGAAGACTCGAAGAATGCCCTTCTCTGCGTTTTCTGGCGTTGCCTTCTTGGACTTTTCAACGCGATCTCTTTTATCACTCCAGCCATCTCAGACGAACGATTGTTGCATTTCCCATGCGACGCACGTGCAATCGCGGGATGCATTCATGAGGCAACGCACCTCGAACTACGAAAGTACTCGCACCGGCTGCAGCTGCGGGTGGCGGATTTGGCCTCTTCAGGATAGCTTGCCGGGCTAACCTTAAACTGCACGCGAGGGAGACCACAAGCTGTCGTTTCACTTCGGTTTGTCCTTGCTCACGCACCACCAATTCCCCACAGCTACCCCACACACGTAACATGGACCGGAGCGTTACTACGAACCGACTTCTATCCAAGTGGCTGTTTTTCTGCCCGCGGTGAATCCCAGTGTTACCCAGCAAGCAAAGAAACAACGAAGTATGCATACGTAGATGACACAGATGTTTCATTCACGGGGTAGCAGAGTCAACACGCACCAGGCTATCGACACGGAAACGTCTCCGTGTACCGACACAGGTGTGCAACCTAGAGCAGCAGTGCTTAACAATTTACGTCGAATGTGTAGTCCAGAAACGTGTCTCCTACGGCTGTTCAGTGTGCCTAAAACACACGCTGTTGGCCTCCAGGTATCAGCACGAATGCTCACAACGTTCACCCCGATCGCCTGGTTTATTCTTTGCAGCCTGGCGGAAAGCACGCGCAATACGAAACTGGCCGAGATTAGCATCCTGAAGACATATTCAAAACGCTGTTCACGAGATGAAGTGAAGCTCTTCCTCTCGCGCGCGTTGTGGTGGTCGGTCTCGCTTTCGGTGTTGGGGGTACCTATCACGAAGAGCATGCCAAAGAGGAGAAAGAAGATCTCTGGTTGAACGCCTCAACAAACGGTGATCGTTTTCGCGAATAGAGCAGTGACGTGTCGGCGTTGCAAGCTTCTGAATGCCCCTATTAGGCGTGACTCTCAAGAAGCCAGGCATCTACTACGTATTTAGGAGCATACCATAGGTCGCATAAGATGTCACACCCCGTAGACCGATTTTCAAAGCTCGATTACTCCACGACGAAGAAGAGCTCGAAATGGAGTATATGTGTTCGGAAAGCTCTCGACGAGACGGTTCCAACGCCGCCATTTTCGGCACCGTTGCTGTTTTTCCTGCCGAGATATTGAGCTTCAAAAATCGGTCCAGGGGGTGTGATATCTTATGCCACCTACGTTACGTAGTCTATGATATTTTCCTAGCCATTGAACGTAGCCTCCCACTCCGTTTCCTAGACATTAACCGTTTTTGTGTTTCCGAGGTTTCGCTTGAGCGCTGAGGCGGCTTCTCGAAGGAAGAGTCAATACCCCTGCGCGATTTAAGGTTGGTCCGAAAATATGTTTGCAGTTGCTGCGCCTGGTTTTGCACCAAATGATACCGCACGCAACGAGCCAACGGCCTGTTCTCGGGTTTATGTAGTTTGTGATTGCTCAATCAACGCTTGCCCCCGAGGGATTAGATGTAGTTTCAACCGCAAACAAAAGAAAAGCAGTGTTGACGCATCTAGAACAATGTCCCGCGGTAAATGTGCAAGTGTGTGGGTGGCCGCGCCTGCATGATGACTTCGGCAAATCTTCGCGGATACCTGCGCCCACCGATCACCCATTTCATACATTTACCAGCTCGAGGCATGGGGATCTGATCTGTGGTAGAATTTGTGATTTGAGAGCCAAATAGTCTACACCGAAGAAACACAAAGTGTTCCCCTTTTTACTTCGCTCATATCAAATGCAATGGAACATGTTCCTATCACTTGCTGCGGAAGGCCGTGAGGAGGAGACCGCGGCAACGTAATCGAAACAAAAGCGAGCTCACCCTATGCCATTCAGTGCTTTACACCGCAACAACGAGCTCGTCGCGGTCCCGGCTTTGTCGACCTCAACTTGCCCCCCGCCAGAAAAACCACCCGCCGTCGCTGCTTGGTTTGTCCCAAGAATCACAGATGCAAGGTTGACCGCTATCATCATCGTTCGTGCCGAGGTCCTTCTTGGTGACGACATGTTTCTGAGGCCGCGGCACACAAGTTGTTCAGTAGTCTAATGCTCGTGCACTGGAAATTTCTTGCTTGAGTCTTTGTATGTCTCATTGTAGGCTACACCTATCATAGGTAGACTAAGTCCATGGGACTTATACTACTGTACTGTACGCTGAGTGCATATGTAGGTAGGTGTTGTAGGCACGCCCATTTAGAATTCAAAAGTAACGCTAACATCTACCATGTTGGGGTACCATGGTGATGGCGATGCTGATGCCGATGGCCCTGTAGCCGGCTCGCTTCATGTCAGCTACCTGTCGCGGCTGGCCGCGGAGCTTGTTTTCGTCGTGTATAGGATAAAATCGAGCGAACGAAGTGTCTCCCTTCCGCAAGGCTTGTAGTCGCCCCACCTCATCGAACCTCCACGTCCCATGGCTACTATCTCAGACATCGCCGATCCCCTAAATAGCGTGCATCACACTGAAACGCCGTTTTCTGCTTTTTTGCATTCCATTGGAGGGCATGTTGGCACAAGATGGATCATGGGATGGATGCACCACGATGTCTGTTGGTGTGGCTGCCTTCGTGATGCCCAGATATGTTCGTACAGAACCCTGCCTTAGACATAAGGGCTTTTGGGTTATGCGCCATTCAATGTTTTTTCCTGCAACCTGGACGCCCTCGTTCCTGACTGTGCCCTAAGCACCGGTGGTGGCGTATATTTCTCCTGGCAGGCCACAGTCGATACGCATGTGGCATATCCGTACCAGGCATCATCATCAGATCTTCAGGTCTCCGATCACCTGTCTGTATATGCTCCGACACCTCCCCCCCCTCGGAATCCACGGAGCTCCTACGCCCAAAGGCTGCGACGGGCGGCATTCCCGTTGTCACGGCTCAGCTCTGTCTGGGAAGGATGGAACATCCCCAGGGCTACGCGCATGCCCCGGCAGCCCAACCTGCAGCTGCAGGGAATCCTCCGCAGAACGAGCCACAACAGGTACTTTCTACTTTGCACCTAATCGCTCTAGAGTCGGTCGTCGGAGTCATTAATACCAGCAGCGGCACAACGACACTACTGCTGTATGTAGAACAACAGTCAACAGCAGTCAACAGCAGTTGGCCTCCGTGTGGCACTTGCACCTTGAACCTGTGTATGCATAGAATGGTTCACTACATTCATCACCCAGCAAGTGATATCGAACAACACGGAGTATTGTGTCGTCTGATTACTACTGCTGTAGCCCTACAGTTAAAGTACCTATCCATGGGAGATGCATATTCTGTAGTCGTCATCTTGGGTCCCGAGATCTGTGATGTGCGCTACTCTGTGCGACCCTGCTGCTCGTACTCTGAACACCAATATAATCGCCCGACAGCATGGAGTGCGTGGATTCATGGTGTATTTCGCCCTGGTTGTGGCAGCCGATGGTCTTTCTCAGCAGTAAAGAATAGAGGGGATGTCGAGAGGCAGACTACTTGTAGACTTTACATCGTTTGGTGATCTACTGCTTGCTGAACAAGACAATGTAGGTTCGTCCGTTCGCCTCGCAAGATCTATACTCCACCCAGATGCACGTGAGAAATTCGACTTCGCGCAGCAGCGGCAGCAACGGTCGGCCGTGAGCATGGCGCTGGGCTCAGCATGCACGTTGCCCGACCAAGGCCCGATCGACGGGCAGTTTTGGCCTGAATCAACCTCCATTCCTCGATGCCCGAAACTACAGTGTGCTTCCTTGCCAGCCGATTGGTCGAGTCGCCGCAGGCACTTGTCCTGAGCAAGGCCGAATCGCCGGATAAGTTTGACCTGAACCAACCCCCTTTTCCTCGATGCCCGAAACTACCGTGCTTCCATGGCAGCCGGTTGTTCGAGTCGTGCTCCAGAATGTGACGGCGACGGTCAACATGCGCATCACCATCGATCCCTCTAGCCTGGCGAACAAGATCAGGCACGCCGAGTACAACCCGAAGAAGCTACCCGCCGTAGTAAGTGCAGCGACAGCAGTCGTGGTGTGCGTATGTCTACCGCATACGACACAAGACAACGCACCCCCTCGACCGATTTTCAAAGCTTCATTGCTCCACGACGAGGAGGATGCGTAAACGAAACGATTCGGAGAGCTCTCAACCAGACGGTTTCAACGCCGCCGTTTTCGGCGTTGTGATTGTTTCTGCTGTTGATAAATCGAGATTTGAAAATCGATCCAGGGGGTGTGTTATTTTGTGTCGGACACGATATTCCTCGCGTGGAGGTCGATTCTTCAAAAACAAAACCACACGGTCGTTACGGTCGGGAGTTCGACTCTCGGCGAGGCGCATGTTCGTCGGAAGACTTAAGGGAAGGCTGGAGTCCCCTCGCTTGTATCTAGAGTTCTACCCCCGTGTTGTGAGGTCTTCATTTCGAGGGCCATCGCCGCAGGGTAGGCAAGCAAAGCTGCGAAGGAATCATGGGAGCAACAGAAACAGAAACTGTAGCGTCCGTCGCAACGCAAGAGTCATTGTCGTCAGCATAGATGAGATCGCCGAGACGCGACACGTTGGGTGTCATTGTCAATTGATACATAGCGTTTGACCCCCGGCCCGCTGTGTAACGTTACGCGAAACGAACTGCTGACAGGTAATGAGAATACGAGAGCCGCAGGCTACCGGCCTCTTGTTCTCTTCGGGCAAGGTGGTGATCACGGGGGCCGCGGGTGTGGAGGCCGCTCGCGAGGCCGCCCAACGATTCGTCGCCGTCGTGGAGGGCGTAGGACTAAACCCCACGACCAACCCGAACCAGCTGTAAGTTTAGTGCTGTTGTTAAGGATTTTTTTTTTTTTTCTTTCAGAAACCAAACGAATTTATTTCGCAAGAGTGTGTTTTCGTCCTATTTGTTATGGCGACAGTCCCCCCATTTTTGGTGGTATGACGTGTACTACACTCTACACTCTTCAGTGTATGTAGAGTACTACGCTTTTCATTGTATTTTTTGTTCAACGACAACCATCCAGGGTCGCACAGGAGGGAGTAAATACCAGGGTCCGGGATAAATTAGCAATGAATCCATAGTGTTGTATGATGACCACCTTGTGTTTCTACGCCCCCCGGAGCAGCATTGTTTCGTATGGCAGGGCGCTTCGTTTCATATGCAGATCATGGGGATTGTCGTACATTTTGTCCGAGAATGGAACTTGCACACCACCCCCAAACTGCCGAAAACTCGCTCGTTTCTGGTGTGGGGGGGACGCAGCAGTTGCGTGGGATGGAAGCCTGCCATGCACCCTTGGAGCCAAGCCTTTTGCAAACCCGGGTTTTGGGGTTTTGTCCAGCGGAGCCCATTAGCGTCGAGCGTGTCGTGTCGTTCCTGGATGGTAGAGTGCTCAAGTCCGAGCGCGCGTGTGGGGCAGTGGTTGATGAGCTCTCGACCCTGGCGAATGTTTTTGATGGTGGTTTCTCCCCCCCACACGCACACACAGGCGCTTCGCGGTGCAAAATATGGTGGCTACTTTTGAGGTGGATGCTCCCATAAGCCTTGAGCTCATGGCCTACTGCCAGGCCAGGTGAGAAGGGGCGCGAGACCAAGCCATCGACTCAACTCCACTTGAACCCGTCTCACCCAAGATTTTTTGCTCATCAATTCTAAGTTCACGCAACAATGACCTGGCTTCTATCTATAATAGCGTCCTGGGAGTATCACAGTCGCATCGCGAGGCTTCAGCTTTCGCCACTACTGACTGCTGTTGGGGAAAATGCAGGGGTATTCTCAACAAAGAGAACGATTCCAGAGCTGCTGAATTTGTATGGTGGGTATTTCTGTTCGTTCATTGTGTACCTCAATTTTGGGTTTGGCATTTGACCACGGAAAGCCGTTTCCTTGGCCCTTTTCGAACAAGAACAATATTGCTCGAAGTGTGTTTGTTGGCGTAGTTCCATTGTGTGCCTTCAATCTGGGTGGGTTTATTGTCATGCGAAAGCTTTGCCTTCACGGGGTAGGGGAAAAGGCGGCCCTTGACGGAGAGGTCAAAACGCTCTTGTTCATCGTTGACGACAAAACAACAAGTGATTCAGCTCTCCCTCTCATAAGACCCCCGACCCCGCTGTCTGTCTGTACCCTTGTGCAGATGGTGCATGTACGAGCCGGAGCTCTTTCCAGGGTTGATCTACCAGACAGCGCACAGAGGGGTTGTGGCGCATGTTTTCTCGTCCGGCAGGGTGAGTGGGGGATCTCTGGATAGGATACCTGGGTCTATGCCCCCCCCCCGGTGCCATACTTCATGATTCAATATTTTTCGCTTTTGCATGCACGCGACCGTTGCTATGACTTTCGTGTGTGGAAAGGGGCAACGCGGTGCCTTTTGGGTTTCTGTTGTACTGTGCCCAGATCTGACAATCTCGACGGGCCATCATATTTTCTCAACAAGGGTTCCCTCTATGCGCTTTTTTTCCGCGACGAATAACAATGACCCGTGACACCAGGTGGTGCTGACCGGGGGCAAGCAGGAAGACCATCTCAATGAGGCGCTGGTCAGGTTGCTGCCCATCCTTAATCAGTACAGACAGCCGGATGCGTAGCTTGCTACACGGGGTCACGCGATTCACTTGAAGGGAGGAACGGATTAAACCACTGGGGGCAAGAGAGGCGATATTTCCCGGCGGGAGGTTCAACAGAAACCCGACAATCGAACGGCGCCTGACGGACATCTGGTGTACATACGTAACGGTCGAGGTGGTAAAAGTTTGGCGTTGGCACCAACATCCTTCTTTTTCCGTGGTTTGGCCGCCTCGGTTTTTCGGCGCCGCCGCTTTCCGCGAGCATCAACGACCCAAGCAAACCGCAGCATGCACGAAAGAAGCTAAAGCCTGCGAGAGGGCCGATGTGATGACTGCTGAGGCCGGGGGGAGTCAGTTCAATAGGTCATATGGATTTGGGGCTTTGGTGTGACGTAGACTGCTCGTGTTCACGTCATGGAGAATTAGAGGTCGGTCGATCGAGAGACAGAGAGATAGGGAGGGAGAGAAAACATGAGGCGGTTTGATCGAATTTTTACGAAGTCGTTTGGTGCCAAAGTCCAGGAAACGGGTGCTTGCAGCAGCTACACTTCCATCATTCAAGTTGTCGTGCGCTCTATCGACAAACCTCGATACAGGGGGGTGCGCCATTGTAGCCGTCGCGTCAAGAACCGACTGGCGGAGCTTGGAGGTGTGCCAGGCTGCCGTCGTTTTGGCATCGGCGGTGTAGGCTTACCCACGACAACTATGGCGGATACCCGTACGGAAATTTGGCGGTTTTAGGCTCAATTGACTCATACCGATTAATGAAGCGGAAGCAAGAATACAATCTGGAAGCATCGAAAATAGCGATCAAGCTTTGTTGTAATAGCCACACTATCACCGCCACATTCAAGGTCCCCTACAACTTGATTTTTTCAGGGGTGCCAGGCATAGGAGTACAGAGGCGAGGAGAGAGGCTATCATGAGGCGATGTCCTCTTCCTGATGATACGGTGCCCTCTTGCCGATGAACATGGAAAGTGTCTATTTGTGCGCTAGAATTCGTTGTGTACTGACGTATTATGTGGGAAGCAAGAGCGGGGCGGCCTATTTTACGGCGGCAGAGGTAGGTGCTGTCTTTTTGGAAATCGACGCGGCAGCTCATTGTATCCCCTCTACTCTAACCGCCGAAAACTCCTTACCGGCCCATTCCGTTACCGTCTGCAGAACCAACCGTTTAACCCGTTTTCAAGGTTATCGTCCGATATCGTTTCCAACATGAACGAACCGCCTTTCATCGCGGGAGGATCCGCGGGTGGATCCACTTGTGCACGACGGGATTGTCTGTCACCTGTCACCCACATAAACAAGCGCGGTGAAAGTTCGGCAAAGAGACAATATCTGGGAGAATTAAACAAACGTTCAAGCGACGTGGCATATTGTTGTCATATCTAACTGCTGCTGTGTAGAGCGAGTACCCAATGCAGCGAAACGAACAGCATCAAACAACCCCAGAACCGCGCGCCGGTGTTCGGTTTGGTTGGCAAGTTTGGGGTGGGCGGGGGTACGCACACTCGCGATGCCCCAGCAACCCATGAAATGCGATGCATTCATTTCCCGTCTCCCCCTCGGTCTTTTCTCTCTCTTTCTGCCTCTTTTTTTTTTATTGTCATATACCATTGCTTTCTGCTTTGTTTGGTCCTGCGGTCCCTTGCTTGTTCACTCCATTTCACCGTTCGTGGTCCCTCACCTACCAACTTGGCAGCTATTGCGAGATATTGGCGCATCAGCAAGGAACTCTCTTTGAGAAGACTTTGGGAAACGGGTACGCTGGTCTGGAGGCAGGCAGACAAGGGAAAAGGGGGGCGAAAATCGAGAACTTATCTGCTTGATTTTGGGGTCCGCTCCTCTCAAGGCGCGGCGACGAGCAGCGAGCAGAGGGTACGCCGTTGGGGGGAGGCAGGCAGGGGGTTGGAACGAGAGCACAAGAGAGGGAAGAGACAGGGCGGTTGGCTGGGCGATGCGCAGCAGTGAGAAGAACAAGGTTGGGGGAGGCTTTGCGGGACTCTTTCGGCGGAAAAAGGTGCGAAAATCAAGTTCTCTCTCCTCCTGCGTTGGTGTTTGTGTGCGTGGCCTCAAATGGCCGTTACTTTTTACCTTTTGCGGATGCAACCAAGCTCTAACAGTGCGCTGGACTGGAGCTCCGACTCAGCGATGTGTAGCGCCGTAACTGCGGGTGGAAAGCAAGCCATGGTTCCTTGCCCATCGTTCTACGCGTTGGCTCAAACCGAGGCTGTTCCCGACATAGACGTGGGTGGAAAATACAGAGCGAGCCAACAAGAGCGTGCCGTCCTCTTTCTTCTGTCTTCTGTAACAAGAATGATGACAAGCCCACTTACGGAGCTACTTTCGGATGAGGCAGGCACGGACTTGGCGGGGAGTTTTCGCGCACCTCTCCTCTTTACCACTTCGACAGGTGTCGCGTGCCTTAGTTGCAAGGACATCGACTCGACCCATCCCCTTGGACGAGAGGATACTGTAGCCACTGCTGTTCAATCCTTTCGCACACAGAAGGCTTTTCGGGCACGTTTTTCTCTCCCAGATCCCTTGTCATCCGTTTGCTACGTATCTGGGTGCATCATATCATATGGCATGAGAGGCATCTCTGGCTGCAAGTACTCATGATACACGGAATGTTGCCTATGGTATACGTACATGTTTTCTCTTTTCTCTCAACTCCACCAACATAGAAGATGTAAATTGTGCTCGTATTGTACGGTTCGCCGACATGTTCTACATGGTACCAGAGATCGGAACGGTTTTTAATGTGAAGACAACAACAACAACAACAACAACAAATGGATGTTCGATTGTAGAACGGGTGAAGAGAATGTGCACTAGTCTATTGTACTCCAGCAGAGGGAGGGTGGGCACTTCTTCCTGTGCCACCTTCAGTTAGAAAGCCAAATCAAAAGTACTTCGTGTTTTCATTGTTCTCCCATTTTGTTTCCCCAGTCAACCTGCATTTGGGCGATTATATAGACACGTGTGGACGACAGTGTGTATTGCAAGTGTATTGCCAAGGAGGCCGCGGCCGGATAAATTCGATTTTTGTAAATTCGTGAGGGTTGGCACTACCAGCAGCCCACACACCACGCACAACCGTCGCACGCACCACAAGCGTACGGCACGCGAAGCGTTCCCCACCATCGTTGCCAAAGAGGACTTCCAGCTACCAGATGTTCCAAAGAACTTTGATGCCAATTTTTGCCACCAGCTTGCGGCGGCAAGAGGGCTTAGGGCTAAACAACGGCAGAGTAACAGACAGCAGAGGTCGTATGCATTGCACATCGCTTTTTGTATTCTCATCCCGTAACACGCCGATTGTATCGTGCACATGTTGCTGAGTCAAACCCTCCCTCTATTTTCGCTCGTGCGAAAAAAGGCCTGGAACAAATGGAACAAAGGGCTTTGAAGTCATCCGACAACCAACGCTGGAAATGAAACCTCGGCAATTTCTGGCCGTACCTCAGAAGACCCTTCACGTTTACTACAGTTACCTCCCACCCTCACGGACCCCAAGCAGAGAGAATATATTCGGCAGTGCGAACGAACTTTCGTCTTCCGAAACCAGGTTCGAAACATATGCTCTGCGGGACCCCCGATCATCGACGTCTACGCGGTCGAAAACTACGATGATAGGGTGCTAAACACTTCAGAAACCTTTGGGATTACAGAATTCGAAATTTGAAAAGAGGGTGTAGAATCGAAAGTCCGAAGTTCGTGATTGCGGGGCAAACACCGGTTTGGAATAGTATAGCCTCAGCACGGAGTATGAGCTTCGCGCTGATGTCTGCGGTCATGTCCACAGGCCAACTATTTGCTGTCTTGAATGTGAAACCGCTTAGTCGGAGGCACTTTCGCTGCCTGAGAAGTGGGGTGTAGTATGCACACGGAGCTACGTAAGGCATGTGACAACAGTCGGGACGAACAGGCCAAGCCTGCCTCCGCTCTGGCGGCTAGAGAAGGATGACAAAGCGACCACCGTCGCGGGTGTGGTGCGTACAAGGTGGGAGCTACGCTAGCAGCATCATTGGTCATCGGTTGGCGGAACGGCTCTACATGCATGTCGGTGCAGTCTTGAGCCAACATCTCCACAGAGCAGCACACGGATTGATGCTTGTCGCGGAGATATCGTTTCTTGGAGTACGAAGCCCCGTTTCGTGAACGACCGGCAACTCAAACCAAGCGGTCTTCGATTGTCAAACGCCAACACGTGGCCTGCGGAGAGGCCGCGGGCAAGCACTCCGTAGGGATGATTTTTTTTTTTTGCTCTCAATTTGAGCTTTTGGAAACGCAAAAAGATCATGCGAATCCCGGGTTCCTTTCGGGAGTTCGAAGCCTTTAGGTACCCCCGCCCCACACCGAAATCCGTGTGGTCGCCTGTGGGCCACCTCACAGAGCAACCTCGACCCCAGCGTTAGGAAGGTACGTAACGACTTTTCTTCGAGCGGTTGCGCGTTTTTTGCGTGTTTCCTGATGTCCGAAGCTGAGCTTGCTAAAGTCGCTCAACAGCACTAGCTATGGCAGAGGTGACCGTTCAAGGGCTATCTATCTACCTATGGCAGAGGTGGCTGTTCGAGGGCTATCTAGATCAGGTCGTCGACGGCATCATCCACTCTGTCATGAAATATGTGTGACACACGTGCCGTATACCGCGTTTCTCTCTCCGCCCTACTGCATAGGCATGATGTTCCTTTTGTGGAGGTCAAACTAGTGGTCTGTCTTGGAACGAACACCACCGCGCTGCCCTTAGGCTTAAAAAACCGGAAGTGTTTTTTGGTGTCCACCACCGTTCTGCGGTTGGAGTGTGGCATCTTGTTGCTCTCCGCTTTGTTCCAGGCCTTTTTGTGTTTTGTATGTATAGGATGAATATTCGCCGGACTTTTCGAAGTTTCGCAAACGACACAGCAGTATTGCTTGGTGACAAGACAAGTTTCGCGTGGTGGCCGCGTGCTATGTACTTAATGACTACAGCAGTTCCGACCTCTCTACCCAGTACCCCCACCTCTCCGTACTGATTTAACGCTTGACGCGGTCGATTCACGTGGTCAAAGCAGAGGCTAACTTACCCGAAGAAAGGTGGCAGAATCGAACATAATGGACCCCGACGGTATCACCGACAAATTGACGTCCGAACCACTGCCTTGTGCTCTCGCGGTACAACATTCCTTCCGTGTCGTCGTCGTGCTCTTTCGCTTTCCTCCCGCTTGGTGAACGCCCCCCAAACCCATCAGAGCCCAACAAACGCTACGGCCTTCGACGTTACCGAGCCCGCGTCCAAGACTCCGAACTTGACTCCCGTGGTCCGGCAAGAGGTGATGGTAGACCCTCCCACGTCTCGCGAGCTGAAGTACGAGTGCATCAGCGAATCACCGGTAAGTTTTGCTAACCACTCTTTTTGAAACTTTTTATCCTCAACAGACACCTCTGGTGTGTGGTGGTTTTGGTTCTACACCTGTGGTAGTGGCATGTACCCGGGGGGTTGTGGCTGGGCTTAGCACAGAACGCTATGCTCTGAGGCGGTGCTGCTGTCTGCCCTTCGCAGTCCCATTGTGCATGTGAAGAACACCCCCCTGATGGGTTTGTTATGACCTGCTGTAGTGAACGTTCCCTCGTAGCATTGGCGAGTTGTCTGCTGCGATTGTTGGTCAGGCCGGCAGTAGCGCCAGTCTCATTGTCCTTGGGTGAAACCTAGGTATTGCCAAGAACCGGGTTGGTAGTGCATGGGCCTTCTACGGCAAGCATGGTTGAGGTAGACGGCTGTAGCCTTTGTTTCGGAGACGAATCCGAGACACAAGACATACACGGTACCTGTGTAAGCACTCGATCGCGCGGGGATTTCGAGAACATGCTCTGCGTTTGTTGCCTCTGGAAGACTTCTCTCTTTTGATTGAAGGGGTGCTGGTTCTCTGCCCTCTCCTCCCCGTTTTGACTCGAGATGCCTTCCTCATCACCACCCAAAAGTATGATCGCTCGTCGGCCTGTCGCTTCAGGCATACAAAGGGTGGAGGAGTATTCTCCGACGGAGAATCCGGGGGCCGCAGGGCAAGATTCGATCGTATGACGTCATCACCCAGGAGCACCCGTCCGTTCTCGTCTTCACATGGGATACTCAGGTGATTTTGTGGTGTTGTTCGTGTTGATACTCGCACATCGTTCACTCGACGAACGACACGAGTTGTGTTCTCTACAACCGAGCGTCTTTTTTTTTTTTTACGCTGGTTAAGTTGGCGAAGTGACTCCATGCAGACTTTTTCGGCTAACCGAATACGTTGAGGGGGTGGGGAGTCCTGACTGAGACTGCTCGGCTCTTGTCATTGCGCCTTGTGGTGGGCAAAACTCGTGCGGCGGTTGACGTGTGCATTCCCCCCCCCCTGCAACCACAGCGGCTGCTCGTTTAGTTTGTGTGTACAGGGAAGTACAACGTGAACGCACCGCAACCACAAGCCGCTGCTCATGCAGTGTTGAGTGCAGACGAACGCACGTGTATGTATCCAAACATGTCGTTACTTGACTATTTTTCTCTCTCTCTCGTACTGGATATTTGTTCTCCGATGCTGGCTGCTGTTTTGGTTTCGGGGCAGACCAATACGACGACGATATTAAAGGAGTATTACCCGGGGATGAACCGCCTCATGTACGGCGTCGTGGGCGGCAACTACGAGGCGGATAAGCACACGTCGGCGTTACAGGTGATTGGTTGATTTTTTTTTCATGTTTGCGTGGCTGATTGATTTCGTCGATGGTGTGTGAGCTGCAGAGAGAGAGACCTTGCAACAACAGCGGTAGCGGTGTGTCGATGGTGCATGGTTTTTAGGGTAAAAGAGGCAATGCACAGAACGAACAAGTATGGCACGAATCGAATCGCGATACGTACGTTGCGGCAGGGTGGAATGGTGGCTACAGGGTAGGGGAGATGGGGGTACTCATTTCTAGGCAATGCCCTATTGCTGCAAAGACAGGCTCGCGCCAGACGCCCCTCCCCGTTCACACGGGATGGACATTGGACGTTCCACCAGTGAAAGAAAGGGGGGCACGGAGATGGTTGGATGGGGTCTGGAGGGATGCTATCCCGAGGTCTGGCTACAAGCGAAGATCAGAAAAACCGACGGTTGTGGGGAATGGGCGAGATGAAGGAGGAAGCACACCCCCTGGTATTGAACGTGCTCCCCCCTAATCCGCGGAATCGCGGTTTGATCTGGAAGCTCACACCGAGTAGCGGGAGATTTTTCAGGGCCCCATGTCGGAGGTCGGAGACGATGCTGGTCCATCTTGGAGGGAATTGTAGAGAGTCCAGGGTCCAAGGGTCCTGCCGTACGATACCTATTGGTATGTGTTCATCGTCTTCCCGCGTCTCGTGTGCACGGTGGTACTGGTGCGATAGCGTGCTCCCTCAGGGGCATCGCGCACGCATAATTGTATTCGGTACTTTCCCTCTCCTCTGGTCTCCCTCTCTCGAGTACGTCTCTCATTTCGGGGTGCTCATTTTCACGGCTCCTTCCACTTTCGCCACTGCACACGCACAGGCCGCCGCCTGCGAGCTGGAGGAGGAGGCGCATCTCCACGAGGGCACATGGTACGCCCTGATGAAGGACGAGAGGACGGTGGCCGGGGCGGGCAAGTACTCGACGCAGGTATTCTACTCGTACCTCGTCGTCGACCCCGTGGTGAAGGGCACGCCGAGAGGGCTCGACGACGGGGAGTTCATCGAGTACATCCGAGGCGTTTCCCTGGAAGAGGTGCGAGGGAGTGACGAAGAAAATCTTTGTATACTGTAGTATTTTGGTGTTCATTTCTTGTATACCGTATATGACACAAGATAACACACCCCCTGGACCAATTTTCAAAGCTCGATTACGCCACGACGAAGAGGATGCATACATGAAACAATACATTTTCGGAAAGCTCTCGACGAGACAGCTTCAATGCCACCGTTTTCGGCGCTGTGACTCTTCCTGTTGTTGAGAAATCGAGATTTGAAAATCGGTCCAGGGTGTGTGTTATCTTGTGTCATTTACGCTATACCACTTCTCTTAAATGTCTTTGTTGCAAGCGCGTCGGGGGTGGGAGTACTGCTCTACGATCCCTGGATGCTGTAAAATCCCTGTCTTGTGCGTGGGTGTATTGTGAGGTCTCAAATCGCGGTTTGAACGGCATGCCCTTGCTAACGGGCGGGCGGGGATTGGCGGATCTTCTCTGCTACCGTATTCGTCTACAGCTCCGATGCTGTCTCTCTCTGTTGTTGTAGTAACCACTTTTTTTTTGTTGTGTCGTTTTATCCACAACGGGGAATTTTTCCTACGTTTTTTCGAGCTACGCGTAGCGCAGCGTGCACGGCGAACGCCTCGAGGAGCCTTTTCCGGTCAAAACCAGGGGCGAACCTCGCGATAAAGATCAACACCTTGCTCGAGGAAACTGTATCCCTTTCCTACGAGCTCAGTTGCTCGGCCGAAAACGGTTGCGGTTCCTGTGGTGAACGACGTACACTATCTATTGGTAAGGCCGTTTATTGTATTTATTTGTACATGTTTCTTGTGTCGATGTTTTAGTTCTCACCGCCCGCCCCCCCGCCCCGCGTACTTCCTCGTTGGTGTTGCTCCCGGCGGGCCTCCGGTGTTTGTTGCTGCTATCAACCGCCCGAAAAATAGGTGCGCGCGATGATCCACTCGGGGGACATGAGCGTAACTTCCGGGTTTGCGGCTCTCATGGCCATCGAGAAGCTGCGGGAGCTGGGACACATTATGTGATCCATTCCCGCCGTTAGTTGTGCTGTGTTTTTCGTGTCGTTGGGTCTCTCAACGGCTGCCGTTTCTTCTTTTTTTTTGTGTTTTACAAAATATATGAATTTGTTGTGCTGTACTTTTGTACTTGTGCATGTAAGTGGTTGAGGGTGGACAAGGGGGGGGGCGGGGGGGGCGGGACAAGCATGCTTGTTTCGTGGACTGACCACCCGCCGACCGTTGGTTCGCGGTGTTTGGGAGGCAACAGGGGGGGGGGGGGGGGGGGGGGGGC